CTAACCGTCGCGTGTCCTGTTTTCCTGTTTACCTTTTTTCGCGCAGCCTCCTCCCCATCCCAGACTCTGTCTCCCTGATGACGCCAGTGATTGAGTTTTCCCATCACTCCTGTACTGAAATTATGTCTCTCTTTCTTCCTCGAGCAGAAGCTTGACCCTATGGGACAACAGACCTGCTCGGCGCATCCTGCTCGGTTCTCCCCAGATGACAAATACTCTCGACACCGAATCACCGTCAAGAAACGCTTCAAGGTGCTCATGACCCAGCGACCGCGCCCTGTCCTCTGAGGGCCCCCTAAACTTCATGTCTCTTCTGCTACCCCTCAGAGACTTTCCGAAACCAAGCTCTTCAAACTGTGAGCGTGGAAGCCTTCTTACCACCCTTGCTCTTTGGAATCCGGTTTCATCGTTGCCCTTGATCGTGCTTGTGTAAATCGATCATGGTAGCATCCTTCTTTTGAGTCTTCTTTCCATATTTTGAATCACTGCTAGGTTATTAAAATGATTTGAAAAGCTCTTATTTTGTATGTTGTGGGGGAAAAGGAGGGATTTAAAAACAAAAAAGAGGGAGATGAGAAGGAAGAGCACCCCAGGGGTACAACAAGAGCCCTTGGAAGAAAACCGTCAGTCACTGGGGCACCTGGGTGGCTCAGTCGTTGGACGTCTGCCTTCGGCTCAGGTCATGATCCTAGGGTCTTGGAATCGAGTCCCCCGTCGGGCTCCCTGCTCGGCGGGAAGCCTGCTTCTCCCTCTCCCACTCCCCCTGCTTGTATTCCTTCTCGCGCTGTGTCTCTGTCAAATAAATAAATAAAATCTTCAAAAAGAAAAAAAAACCTTCAGTCACTGCTATCGCAGTAGTGCTGTGCGGGATACGGTGTTGGGGAACCGGAAAAATGGTTCAGACTCTTCCACAACTGTCCCCATTCACTGAAAAATACCCTTGTTCTCGTTTAAGTAATTTCCTGCCCCTTGAAATGACGTTTTGACTCAAAATGGAGGAGTTGCTTGAAAAATAATAGCAGGGGCGCCTGGGTGGCTCAGTTTTTAAGCGTCTGCCTTCGGCTCAGGTCATGGTCCCAGGGTCCTGAGATTGAGTCCCACGTTGGGCTCCTTGCTCAGAGGGGAGCCTCCTCCCTCTCCCACTCCCCCTGCTTGTGTTGTCTGGCTCTCTCTCAAAATAAATAAAATGTTTAAAAAAAAAAAAAATAGCAGCTATATTGTAGAGGGAATGCAGTGAATTGGAAGTCAGGAGACCAAGATTTCTGCATGACTTTGAGAAAGTAATCAGTGTAGTCTCATTTTTCTCATCATTTCTAAGCCTTATTCCAACTTGAAATTTGATAGGATTCAGTGGTGGATAACAATATATCTACACTGTGTTGCAAATAGAACTGTTGTGAATACAAATGCCTTGATACTTATTTACTCCCCCTCCGAAAATATTCCCAGGTTTTTAGTTCTCTCCATCAAGGAATTGTCTTCTCACATACACCTAACTTTATATTCTCTTTGGCAGCCAGCTGCTTTGTGGAACTCTACATGGATCTTAATTTAGAAGATGAGGTATGAGAGATTGAAGCAGGGATTTTGCTGTTTTTTAAGCTACTGTTGGGGTTAATTAAAAAACAAACAAACAAAAAAACCCCTGGGAGATTTCTTAGGACAATTCATAGTAGAGGAATGATGAGGCCAAATACTGTATGTAAGCTTTCAAAAAAATGCTAGCTTGCTTCTTCCTCTCTTTGCTAAGTTAATCAATTCATTATTTTCCAGTCTTCCCATTTGGCTTTTGACATTGGATTTGAATGTTTGCCTAGTGCCACTGATTTAAAAACTTCTTTATGGAGATTGTGTTCTAATTAAACAATCTTTTTCTACGGCATCAAGATTCTAGATTCTAGAAGTAGATGTAACTTAAATCGGCATAAATTTAATTTATCAGCACGGGTCCTGGAAAGGGATAAACATTTCTCTTGGACTCTGATGTCTGACTGTCTTAGCAGAAAAGTTGAGGATAGTTGCTGACTGCTGGAAAAAAAAAATCTCTCGACTTGAGTGATAATAGAAGACAAATGATTTTTGAATCACTTATGGGAATGGTAAAATGAAATTCTTGTTTCCTGTCAAGCAATTTTTAATTTCTTAGCATGTTCACTTACAGGGATTTTAAAGTGTTACCCTATCTTATTAAGGGGACAGTGATGGAAGAAATGTTAATTCTGCAATAACTGGAAAAAGGATCTGCTATGGAAACTTCTTAAACACCAAAGTCAGTAAGTGAACTCTGCTAGCAATGTTTTGTAATTTGACTGTAATTTTGTCTTTATAAGTAACCCACTACCTGCCCCCACCCCTCCCCAAAAAGGATTACTATTGTTCCATGCTACCTACCTGCTGTGTAAACTGAAATGAAAAGACTTTGATCTGGAAATATTCCTAATTGAAATAGAAGAGAAAAGGTAGACTGGTTTAAATATACCAAGGACTTTTTCCTTAAAAGGTTCTCTGGATATTAACATCTGAGATATGCTCAGAAACGGAAGAAGAGAGTTTTAAGAGGTGTAGTATATTGGTATTAGGTAGTATATGTAAGTGAATGAAAATACACTGGTATGAAACAAAATTGGATGTTGCAGAAACCCACCATTTCCTTATAAATATGAGAAAGTCTATGAGAGCAGTGGGGGCTGGCCGAGTGGGGGCTGGCCCACAGCAGGGTCAGCTGTGGAGAGTGCAGGAGCCTTGGCCACCTGGCGTCGGGTTGCTCTGCTGTGCTCCATCACCTCTTAAACGTGCATCCTGACTTATCTCCACACTTGCACACTGAAGAATGCAGTGTCTTGATAAACTTGCCTCAGGAATGTCACAAACACCACAGCATTCTGAAAATTTTTTTTAAAAGATTTTATTTAGTTACTTATTTGACAGAGCATAAGCAGGGGGAGCTGCAGGGAGAGGGAGAAGCAGACTCCCAATGAGCAAGGAGACCGATTTGGGGCTGAATCCCAGGACTCTGCGATCATGACCTCAACAGAAAGCAGACGTTTAACTGACTGAGCCACTCAGGCGCCCCTGTTTTATTTTATTTTATTTTATTTTAGACCTGGAGGAAACAATGAGGTACTTTTTTACTCCATTGCCAGTGTTTTCCCTACTACTGCTACCACAATATTTTTCTTAGCATGTTTAACATACAAATAGAAGTGTTAAGTAAATTTTGACTCATCAATATTTTGTTTGAAAGTTATTTCCTATAGCTTTGATCGAGACATTTAAATTTAACAGTCTGTGCCCTGGCTTTGCCTGGGTCCTTACGCCTCACAAGTGGAAATGTTTACACATCATCCTTAGCAATAGATCAGAACTGTATTGAAAACCTGAGCCAGGAAATTCTCTTTTATCAAATGACACATAAAATCCAAAGTCTGGTTAAAAAGATCCGGTAATAAAAATTAAAAAAACAAAAAACTTTTTTGAGATATACAATGTGTAAATAAGGACTAAAATGTTTAAAAAACAGAAACAAAACAAAAACACAAAACAAGAAAGATCCAGGTAACAAAATGAGAAATAAATTCCCATTTAAAATGTGAACTACCTGGGGCACCTGGGTGGCTCAGTCAGTTAAGCACCTGCCTTCTTTCGGCTCAGGTCATGATCCCGGGGTCCTGGGATAGAGCCCTGTGTCAGGCTCCCTCTCCTTCAAGCTTGTGCTCTCTTTCACTATCTGTCTGTCTCTCTCAAATAAATAAATAAAATCTTTTTTAAAAACAAGATAAAATGTAAACCTCCTTAAAGTTTGATTCTTTCTCTTTAAAGCCTATGATTAACAACTCTGGCTCATAGCTTCCTGAGGAAGCAGGAAATTCACTTCCTGAGGTATTAATGTTCTTCTCAGGCAAGCCTGTTGGTCATTCAAATCTGAGGCTTTCTCTCTTTTTTTAATGAGGTATGCCTGTAATTTATTTTTCAGATTCCTCCACCGGATTAAAAAGTCTTTTTCGCATTGCAGTGTCATGCTCCCTGTTCTTGGTCCTCTTTTCCATGTACTCATTCTTCAAGCATTTTCTCATCTCCTGACTGAGGTCATTGCAATGACCAAAAAAATAGCAGAATGCAGGGGCACCTGGGTGGCTCAGTTGGTTAAACGTCTGCCTTCAGCTCAGGTCATGATCCCCAGGTCCTGGGACTGAGCCCCTTGCTCAGCAGGTAGACTACTACTCGTACTACGCTTGTGTGCGCGCGCTCTCTCTCTCGCAAAAATAAATAAAATCTTAAAATAAAATTTAAAAAAATTTCTTTAATTGAACCTTCAGTCTAACTAGAAAGTGAAAATAGCGTTTTTCTCCAGCCTCATTGAGGTATAATTGACCAAATTGTATATATTTAAGGTGTACAACATGAGTTGATATAAGCATACATGGTAAAAGACATTTTAAGGACAGGAAAAAGAAAAATTTAGCACAAAATGAATATAATTTGACAATACGGTGCTTTAAAAACAGACATCAGCTTAAAAATTTCAGTAATGGTCATACCTAGGTATATGGTATGGGAGGTTGGTGATTTTTAAAGAAATTATGAACGGTATTTTCAGAGACGCTTTTATTAAAAAGAGATGGTTTTTGAGGTTCTGAGGGCAAGGGGCATCGTCTGCTCCCCCAGTGCCTCCAGAGTGAGTTCGTGCAACACAGCGGGACCCAGAAGGAAAGGGGTTTGTTTTCTCCAGTGCACGCAGCTCAGGCCCCAAACCTCAACTACAATTCCCATCTTCCTCCGGGCTTCGCACGTTTGGCTCCTCGGTCCCGCTGCGACCCCGGCAGCGCATGCGCGCAACCCTTTCCGTCACCTTGCAGACTGCAGAGGCTGGGCGGGGCTCCTCGACGCTCGCGGGACGGTACCGCCCTCCGACCGCTCCCCGAGGCTTCTCTTCGGACCGTTAACCTCGAATGAGGAACGAGCTGGGAGGGAAGGGAGGGGCTGCGGCGGCGCTGGCACAGCCCGCCGGGCCCGGGGCCGGGGGCGGCGAGGTCACGTAACGGCTGCTCTGGCGTCTACCCGGGGAGGGGGCGCCCTCCCCGGCAGCCGGAGCCCTCCTGAGCGCGCCGCGGCTCCGAAACAGTTACCGGCTCGTAAACAACAGCTGCGCGCGCACCCGCATCAGCTGGCGCCGGTATCCCGCACCTGCGACCTCCTCCGCCCCTCATCCCCGCCGCCCCCTCCTGCTTAACCCGGGCCAGCCTGCGAGGCCATCTCCTCTCTTGCTAGGACCCGAAGGAAGAACGGCGAGGGGCTGACCTGCGCCGCGGCCCTGGTGGGGGAGAAAGCGTCCTCCGGCAAAGGGGTGGCCCGTCCTGTCACACGCAGGAGAAACCCAGCGAGCCGACCGTGGGCTCGATGGACTAGCGACGACCTGCCACGACCCTGAGCTGCAGTCCGAGGGATCTTGATCTGCTCGCTAGCCGCCGCCTTCCAGATCCTAGGGACCGTTCTGCCAGAAGAGCGGGTGGGCCACCCCCGCAGACCTCTTGGAGACGGGAATCCGCTCTGCCCCTGCATCCTCTGCTCACCCTTTTCATTCTCCTCTATCCAGTAGTGTGGGGTATTTTTCCCGTTATGCATGCGCATCTCTCCTACCAGACCCAAGTGGATTATTGGCCTCCCAAATATCGGCTGGCTCTACACACACCACCCAGCCAGACCTGTGGGGTATTCACCTGATACACAACAGGTGGCCGGTGTACACCGTTTCGCAATCTGATCTGTGCTATATTCGCCTGATAAGGGTGGGCCTGCGCGCACTTTGTTCAACTAGAACCGTGGGACATTTACCAGATAAAAGACTTAACTACCTCGGCAGAAACCTGGGGGTCGGGGGGAGAAAGGCTTCACCTGCTTCTCTGAGACCATGGCACTGAGCCCGCAGCCCTGGACCAGGGGAGACAGCTAAATCACTCTTCTTTCTGAAGGAACGAAGTTCCACGAGATTGGCATCGTTTTGTCTTTTTTTTTTTTTCCTTAAATATTTACTGGTTGTGCACTTTCTAGGATAGTCCGTTTGAATTCTGAGTAGAATTCTTATTTGGGACTTTTTGTGTGGTGTAAATCAAGGTTATTGAGGGTTTTTTAAAAAGTTATCTTTTCTATTTTTGCAATCAAAAGTAAGCGTAGGAGGAAGGATTTTGCGGGGTTTTCCTTTTTTCTTTGTTCTTATAAAGGAAAAGAGAATAATGCATCCTCCAGAAACCACCACCAAGATGGCTTCAGTTCGGTTCATGGTGACACCAACGAAGATCGATGACATTCCAGGTTTGTCAGATACCAGCCCGGACCTCAGCTCCCGATCCAGTTCCCGAGTAAGATTTAGCTCACGGGAAAGTGTGCCTGAAACAAGCCGTAGTGAGCCTATGAGTGAGATGTCTGGAGCCACCACTTCACTAGCAACTGTTGCACTGGATCCAGCTAGTGACCGGACTTCTAATCCCCAGGATGTTACCGAGGGTAAGTGGGAACACAGATGACAGGATACTTTAATTACTGGCTTATTTATCTGATTGATTTCCATTATACAGTAATCATCAGGAACCGAGCAATCTCTTTTTGAGATGCCTAGGAACCCTTTGGAATAATGGTTAGCACGATGACTGTCTGTAGTAATAACTTTGGCATGTGGGAAAGAAAGTAGATTTCTATTTTTACTTCATTTTTGCCTCCTTGGAATTGAAATGAGTGGTTTTGGTTAAGGGTGAATATCAAAGAATTTAATAGTTTTTCAGCGCAGAGAATCCTAAATTGTGAAATTTAGTGGAGAGCGAGCTTTGCGGCTCTAACTATTACAGTCTGCTTTTAAGGCTAGTTACTAGCAGTAGTTATTGATCATCTCTTAGTTATTAGCTTTCCTACAAAGACTTCAGATATTGTATCACAAAATTCTTTTTAAAAATGTATATTTTACAGAGACAGTGGTTCAAGAAGCTTAAGTTCACAGTGAGGCTGGTGGGTCTTTTGTGCTATACTGTGGAATGGAGAAATTCTGAAGAGGCTTTTAGGGCCTGATTCCCATATAATTTTGTAAAGAGGCTTTTAGGGCCCGATTTTGACATAATTTTTTCACTTTGAACTTTATATGGGATGTATTGAGTCTCTGTAGTCAGGAAGTAGTGGTACCCAAGCCACTTCTGACTTACTTCACCACTGCAGACCTTTAGCTGCCTAAACGAATTTGGGTTAGCTGGTTTGGAAGTTTTTACTGGATTTAGTGGGAAGAGGTGATGGAAGAGAGAAATGAGATAAAATGGAAAGGTCATAACATTTTTCAGACTGTGGGATAGAAAAGTTTGAGAATTGCTGTACTGATTTATATGTTTAGTTTTATGCTAAATTCTGACGTAGATATGTCAAGTAATGAAAATTTCTCTTAAGAATCTTAAAGACTCTTAAAATGGTATTCTACCCAAATTTGAAAACCATAACTTCAGCTACTGACTTGACATTTTCCGGTGTCAGGAAATACTGTTCCTCTTAACCTAAAGGGTGCAGGAAACCAGAATGATTTTAGTTCCTTATTTCGGTTTGTGTTTTTGAATGTTTGGAAACAAGGTAGAGTTGGTAAAGTTTGTAGTCCTCGAATTCACTTGACTGACTTATGGAGATATGGACTTATCTATTTACAACTTCTTTTTTTTTTTTTTTTTTTATTCATGAGAGGCAGAGCGAGAGAGAAAGGCAGAGGGAGAAGCAGGCTCCCAAGGAGCAGGGAGCCCAATGCGGGA